AGAGCTTCTGTAAATTCGGTTAAACTTCTTCTTCAGTGAAATTGTGAGAATCTGAATAGTCGACGTGGAGAGGCTGTTTACAGGTGCACCATCCCTCACCTACCGCCTTTCAATGAAATAAACTGAGCAGCACATGTCACTTGGTGGAGCTACATTGCTGTCCTTCTGATGTGCATGTATTATACATATTGATATAGACTGCTGGATGGCATCCTCTGGAACTGTCCACTAAAAGGATGTGTTGGGGATCTTAACACATAAAAGCCATCCTGTGTGCCAGGTGTTTTAAGGAAGAAAGAATCTGTTGTTCAAAATTAAATTACTTCTAGTTTTAGTTGTTTGGCTGTTAGGACTAAATTCTGTCAAGTGTAATGTAGTTTTAGAAGTTGACTAAGTCTAGACAAGTCTAGAGAAATAAGATTAGGCAGTTATAGCAGTTACTATAGGCAGTTGTATCAGTTACCATATTCTTCCAAGAGCAGAAACTTCGTATATTAAGCAGTTGTAGCAGTTACTTCAGCAATTGTAACAATTACTATATTTTGCCAAGAACAGAAGCACCTATTCCTGTTTCTTCCCATGAATGATATAGACAAGATTGTTAAAGTATTCAGTGTCTATTTACTCGAGAAGTTTCACGGTTGTCTCTTAATGAACTTAATTTACACGGAAAATTGGTAAAGGCAGGAAATCAACAAACAAAGAAGTCTCTGCAGATTTCTATTTAAACTGACTCATAACTAGAGATATACGAGTCGGGAACATAATAGTATGTCATCTAGTGAGTTCCTGTTCTTCATTGTCAGTATATATACGTATGCATTGTCTGAAATAGTCTTTTTGGAAAATCAGTAAAATATGGTACGAAGCAAATGGAAAATGAAACCTGACTGATAGTCTGCTTTTCAAATCTTCTAGATGTCTTTTTGTTCATTATTTCTTTGTGTTGTCAAGTCGTTTTTTGTGAATTCTTGTAGGTGAGGGGAACCCAAGTTGACAATGATGAGACAGACAAACAATCCCTTCAGGAAGGATATGTGTGTATCTTTGATTCATTTGATTGGTCCATAGGTCTAACGGACTCCAGGATCTAAATGGTTATCACCGTTTCATTTCAGATTACTGTCACTCCACTTGGAGCCCTCTCCCGTGCAGAGATAGACTGCCAGAATTACTTCAAAGAATGGCTTCCAAATGTTGTAGGACATGCCTCTTCGTCATCTTTATAATACTACGAAGAGCTATTAGGTAAAATTAAATAATACAGTGCATGCCTCATTGTTATCTTCTCGTTAAGATGTTCTCTAAATTATTATATATTTTTGATTTGACGTTGCTGTCGTAATCTTGATGATAAGAAAAGTGAATACTTTTGCACATTGAATATCTCTCAAGTTTGAATTAAGACTTCCCTTTGCCAAAGTATCTCTACCTTTAAGCCTACATAGTCTATGATGCATGGTTTCAGAAACTGATTTTCTAAGTTGTTTGTCATGGTTAAAAAACAATCATGGAAAACATCATTTTCAATAAACTCAAGCATGGACCTGGTTGTGCTGCCTAAAGCTGTTCCCTCTAACTGTTTGATCTAAAGCCCTTGCTTGAAGTCATATCTATCTCTGTCACATCTTCCTTTTTGGTTTCTCAAATATGGCAATGATCTTACAAAATTTATTTGTCTTGCACAATTTATCTGGTCCAAAGTACAGCTGCTTTTTAGATAGTTTAGCAATCAATTATTTCTAGAGAATCGTGTTGTCTTTTTGATTAGGGACCATCTCGGAATATGTTTCCCTCTCATCACTAGTATAGGATTCTTCTTCACCTTTATAGTTTCTTAACTGGTTTATCATTCCGTATTTAGTTAGGACTCGTGTATCTGGTTGTATTTCCTTTTTTGCATTCTTGCTATAACTGGGATACCTAGAAACTCTATAAATAATTGGGTGCCACTTTATTGTTTTAGACTGCTTATGAATAAACTATAACGATGTTCTCTCATCGGTTGAGTGACTTTAACAATCCTATAATGTGGTATGATGATTCTGTAATTGTGGCAGTGACAAGTTGTACTGTGGTTGTGTCTTGAGA